CGTAGCTTGTCCCCTACCTCGACGCCACACTGTGACCGTCAGGTCTGTCCGTAGCGACAAGCGTTCCGTCTTCAATCTTCGTAGACTGTACATCATGGGCCCAAAATGTTTTCTATCTCGCTTCATCCATTTTTTTTCCTGTTCTTGATTGATCAGCCCTCACTGATGTTAACCATAGTATGGAACAATGTGTAAGGTTCTGATACAACTTATTCAGGGTGTTGTCGAAGCACCTGTCAAAGCGAACGCAACCGGCCAGCATGAATGACAGGTGAGTTTCTGGCATTTTTTTACCTCTGAGTTAAACACCTCATTGAATACATCCCTAGTGGGACATGAAAGCCCTACACGTTGAATAGTCCAATCTTTCTGATATCTCCCCGCAGAGTACCAATATTCACAAGCATACAGTAAAACCGATCTCAAAGACTTACAGGCTATTTACTTTCGTCCGAAGGCTGATTTCTGGACGCCAGAGGGCTTGTGTAGTTGGAAGAGTCTTCGTCCAGCTGCTGAAATGTGCCCTACAATTTACTCTTTCTAATGGCCGGTGGGCACTGAGATCGAGCCTAGATGCTTCAAGGTGGCACCTTCTTCTATGATGACTGAATCAGGACCAATTGGCCGCGTACCTTCCCCTGACATACCGTCAAAGAAAGAAATGCAGCTGAAGCTCATGCCTCTTCTTGAAAGAGGTTTCTACGTATTTAGGAAAGTCTATATACACGTAAATTTTTATTGAATTAAAATATTATTGACACAAATCCGGATTAAAGGATCAAAACCACTGTCCGTGTGGTATCATGAACGCACCAAATAGTCTGCAGTCTGTTCTGAGAAATTCGTAGTGAAATAAATTGTTCGCTTTACACTACAGTATCACCGCAGTGTTGTGCGATTTCATTTATTCTTCTCATCGTCGTGAATTGTTTTGTCCTTGACGATGGCTATGGCCTTCACGTGTCATATGCTCTTCTTTTATCGCATGTTGAATAAATCAGTCTAACTGTAGAATCGAGCTATTTCTCAATATACGCTATCGAAGCAACGTTAGCGACGAGCTAAACAGTTCTTCAGAAAAAACTAGTCATATTTGAAAAAAATGGTATTTATAATCGATCTCTATCAATTCTTTCAAACAATGTATAATCAGACTCCACCGACTGCATGCACAAGGTAACTCGAAACATGCTCTCAGACCCAACAAAGTTCATAGCAATAGTAATGTCAACATCAGAGACCGTTAGCTTGATAATAACATCCTATCGTTCTACCGTTCATCAAGGTCCCGTTGCTTTTAGCTGCCTAAGAGACTCTGAGCGAACCGTCGCTACATGATATTAAAACTTGGGCAGTATCTAAAAATACCATGCTGATTAGCACCGGAATATGAGGTCATTCATTTCGTACATGCATATTTCTGAAATGCGGTGCTTCAGATTTTCCTCGAACGCGCTTTGTTTGGCCAAACTTTATAATGCGGTACTTCAGCCATACATTAAAATCTAGGATTCTATGGAAAAATGGCCGACAATCCTCTAGGCATCCAAAAGAAGAGAAATGGTATCAATACTACGAATCACTTCCCAATGGAATAGGCAAAGGCAGGAAGAGGGTCAAATCTGAAATCCTTATTCAGAAGTCAATATTTCTTCATCAAAGCCTGCTATGCACTAACCCTACTGATGTTCAGTATTATATCATTGTTTGTCAAACTGATGAAAGTATTGTTTATCCGAATAGTCATTTCGACTTGGAACATTTTTCCGCCGATGGCCGTTGAGCTGTTTATCCATTTTTCACAAATTTGATTCAGGTCAGATCAAGCAGCATACTTCAGCGACACAAGAATTATGAGTTGAACCTCTGGCTTAGAAAACACGATCAAACCATACCTGCACAGTATGCCTTTCTCAGTATGGGCAAAGGGAAGTCACATTGATGTTATCTGTGTGTTTCAGACTCATTCCGTAAAAAGAGATGTTCAAGATCCTAATCGATAATTCACTTGATGCTAGACTTGGTTCGAAGAAGCGGTCCAGTCGTATCCGCGATGAGGACAAAAGCGTTCATCCTCGAATCTGAGATTATGACGTTGTCATTCAAATAAGTTAGTACTTACTCAGTAGAACTATGAAAAATCTTTGTTGATCAATGCTCTCCCTTCCAGCCACGTTTAAAAGCTCCATGAAGTGACGTACTCACGGGGAAACGCTGATTTATCGCTTAATACGTGATTCGTTAATCCTTACAGGATATTTACCGTATTTGAAACCGACTACGCGTTTGTATCGCATGCGGTTACATTAACTGATTTGAATATAGTAGGAAAGTAGGCATTGCGCATACTCCGAGGACATCTTGACCAACGCCGATGTTCTTTCGAGGGCAATCATGAATTCATACGTCACATGTCTACGCACCGTTTCACGTTGCGAAAGTTGACACGCCTGAGCATCACGAAATGAGACGTCACCTATGGTACAAATAGAACATGGAATGACAAATGCGTCAGTGTTTAGAACGGATGACTTTCGATAATCGTCAGCTGCCTGTTTTTGTACACAATACAAATGTTGCGTACGTTGACTTGTTGTGACGAAAACTCAAACAAGCAACTTAATGGTCGAACATACGTAATGCGAATCGATTTTGGTTCTGTCATTGTCTTATTAGACATGAAGAACGGAATTGGTGTTTGTCCAGTAAATAGATAGAATGCATTGGTTGAGGTTTAAAAAATTCTGAGCACTTGACACGCCTCGAAGATGAGGCAATCGATCATTCGAGTAACGTTTCGATTGATATCGCTACTCAGATCTGAGGTCTGTCGTGAAGACTATCCACAGTTCTTTCCTGAAAGTCTTTCACGACTCCACCGGCCCGAGAAATGAAGTAAGGGAAATTTTTGCATTCAGAATTTACCCGTAGCTGTTTTCGAAAATTATAACTGAAGTGCAACATGTATCTGATGTTTTGGAATCTATGCGAAGATTGTCCCCTGTTATATTCCTGCTATATATTATTCTTCTGTTATATATAGTGCAAAAATTGGCCAAAAATATGTGAACAGTTTTAAACGCTTTTGTTCTTTCGCTTAAGGGGCCAGTTAAGCAGGCCATGGCTAAGTGATATTTTGGCACCTGCGGTATCAGATGCATATCACGTCATCTTGACTGCTAGAGTCGAAATAATTTGATGTTTATGAGGCAACATATAAGGACAACAAACTTTGAAAAGTCATTGGTGATGAGCGTGACGTGGCTGTAACGACCAAAATAATTCGAGATGTAATTTGTACTGCACGTACTCAGATGCCAGGGAACTGTGGACCGATTAACTGGCCTCCTGCCCGAGGCAACCAGGAGCAAGTGGCGGTGCAATATGCGGTAAAAAATAGTTTGGAGGATTTATGAGGTGTTTGACAAATGATGCGCGGTATATGTGAGGTTCCCTTCACAACTTCAAGATTCATATAATTATTCCGTGTCAACGCGCAGGCATTGCGTATCAAATAATACCATTGACAGTGCCCCACAAAACATGTACAGGTAAACAATACCTCATACTTCATGTGATCTTTTTCTGTTCCTTTATCCGCTGTGGCCGAAATCTCTGTATGTTCCTTCATCCCGCAGTAAATCAAAAATGGCTTATGATTATGATTAACAGAACTGTTCATGAGGACTTCTCATAAATCCTGAATCAGTCCAAAAATCTAACTGGTAAGGGTGATCGGAGTTGCTACTTTCGGTAGCTGTGACCTCTTTTGTGCGTTTCTACATTCCGCAGTGAATTAATGACTCTTTGTTTCCAAGCAACCTCTGGACGTCTGCTTTTCATTGGGAAGGTTGTTTCTACTCTCAGACGGCAGGCTAACCAGTTTCAAACCGAAGCTTTAGGTGGAAGCCCAGAGTAAGCCGCTGTTGAGGATCGAACACTCGATTCCTACCACAGGGATATCACTGAAAATGGTTCGAATCATCATGTTATATTTGGAAATGTTGCCCTCATACCCGCTGAAATGCTTCTCCTTTGATTCTCTGGTAGCATCTGCCGCCAGTTTTTCATACAGTACCCCATGGTTTCGCAAGAGAGTGCAAACAACAGTGTGATGCATAGTAGACAGATCTGTCCCCCTCTTAACGCGAACATCCATTACTGAGCGTCTTAAGTCAGACGATACGATTATCAAATCGATCATAGACTTCTGTGCACAAGCTTCCCCAATCCAGGGATTCTAATGCACGCTTTGTTGTTCGAAGAAGGTGTACATAACAGGCAGTTCACTGTTCACTGTTTGCACAAAAGAGGAACAAGTTCATGCTGTTCAAGTTTATTGTTAAAGTCGCTACGAGTGGTCTTTTCGATCACTTCTTTCCACTTTTCAGTGTTTGTTCCTACGTACGCATTTCGTAAAAGGCATCTGAGAGTCGCTCCGGGAAGCAACGGCTTTTGATAAATAAAAGTTATTAAACCGTACATTCTTGCTCAACAATGGTTTAAGACTAAGGGTAAAGCTACTTCCATCGATTTGCAGCACTTCATGTATTCGCCATGTTGCCCGTTGCTGCGTACATGCATAATTTTGAAAAAAAATCTTAATTTCAGGAAAACGATCATGCGCGGACTCCTGCTCTGGGTCACCATGCTGGTGGTTACCTTTTCCACGGCTAATCAGTATCGCCTAGACGACGCTAGCCTGAAATGGATGGCACCTCAAAACGACCAATCAGCGTTCCCGTACAAACGGATCGACCCATCCAACTACAACGTTGGCTTCGGTAAGCGGTTCGATTCGAGCAATTTCCACATTGGCTTCGGGAGAAGATTCGATCCGGCCAACTTCCATCTCGGCTTTGGCAAGAGGTTTGACCCCATTAACTATCACATGGGCTTCGGCAAGAGGTCGCTGTCCGAAGACAAACAAAACGACGATTTCGCAAAGTATTACTATGCTTCTAAAGACAGTGCTGAATAGGCGTCGAGCAGCGCCGTGTTGCCGTCGTAAGCTTGCTATGAGTATGTAAACCGTGGATCTATTTTCTAAGGACTGCGCATTAATGCGTCATGTTTTGAATG